GATATATCTTATAGTGTATACATTTAGTTCCATAATATTTATAGAAATACAAATCATTGACATTGATATCTAATTATTCTCTATAAAGTTTGAATAATACATAGTTTGTAAGTTATAAAACAATATTAATAGGTATATAAATTATATTAACCGTATCCATAATAATATTTGAATTCAAAAGTCTTCATGGTATATACGTTATATCATAAAAATATACAAATGAATACTTAATTGTTAATATTCTATAATAATATGTGATATGTAAATTAGATCTTACTTAAAAGACATATATAAATAATGTTAATTACATCGTGTGAATAATAGTAGATTTCAAAAGTACAAGTAGAATATATGTTATAACCGTATATTGTATATATGGGAATATATCGTATATGAGAATATATTGACTGAAGCAGCATATATTGTAAATATTAGAATATATTGTATATGTGATATATATCTTATACATAGTTCTAGCTATTTTATTTACCTATGAAACCATCGTGGATTTGTGAAAGGAAACCCCTAAAGTTGATAGTGTGACTGGCTCCAATGTAATTTAATCAAACAATTTCAAACTTGAGTGGTCAATTGCGTGGAAACTTCACACGGAAAAAATCATATGAAAAAATATTGTTGGATCAAAATTGGATATTTTTTTAATTAATAATAATAATAAATTATAGGAAAAAATGGTTTTTGGAGGAGTGAATTAAGGGATTAGTGTTGAAAATTTATATGAGGTCCACAATAATTAAAGGAATATGATTACAATTATGGAATTAAATATTTTAAATTTCAAAATAATAAAAAACTATAATAAAAATGTATATAATAAATAAGGGTAAAATCGACATTTAAAAAAAATCCTACGTGGAGAAATCTAAAACTGTAAAATTGGAAAACTTTAGACATTTATGTAAATAAGTTTCTAAAATAGACCTCCGAAGATATTATTTTTTTTTCTTTTAACTTCGATCATTTATCCAACTAATATTACTTGTCCTACGTAGTTTTAAATTATTACAACATTATCAGTATAATTTAGCTTTTATGTCGAAATTAATTCGAACTTACAAAATTTGTTATTAAAAATATGTGGGTTAACATTAATCTTAGATTGGTAAGTCAAAATTAAGATTTTAGATATTAAATAAATACTACTATTAGAAATAATAGCTAATTATGACGTCGATCAAAAAACCTTAAAAAGAGGATTTTTGGTCAACGCAGCAGTAATAGGCATAATAATTGTGTGTGCACATCTTCCTCTTAAGCTCATTACTGATGGAATACTTATAAATGATCGTAAAATTGGTCAAACTCTAAAAGCTTTTCAAATCATTTCTATTTCCCCTTTATTTCTCGCCATTCACCGCAGTACGTCACTAACTTCGTCATTACGGAGCGTGGTTGCAATTGACATTAAAATAAATAATAATAAATAAATCGTGTAAAAAAGTTTCATAGATCACAATAAGATTTAGCATAGTAAGCTGAGTGATTAGTCATAGCCCTAAATAATTATATTCCTGAAAACAATAAATTCAATAAAAATCAGAATTCTATTACATATTTTCAGTACTTTTTTAATAGGTATTTCTTAACCTTATTTGAAAATTGAATATCAATTTATAGGACTATGGAAAATAAATTCAGTGATATATTTGTAAAGTAACGATAGTTACCAAATAAATATTCAATTCAATCTAAAATATTATTAATTAATTTATTAACCTGATAAAATTTCGTATAGTTATTATTTTGTGATGTTATATAATTTATAATATATTGTGTTTTACATTATTTAATTTTAATGAAAGATAAAATAAATTTATAACATAAAATAATATATTTTATAAAATTTTTTATAGCTTTTGATGTAATTATACCTTTAAAATTTAAAATTAAAAAATTGGGGGTAAAAAATATTGTTTTCATAGTTTTTACTATTTTCACGTAATTATATTAAACGAATTCATTTATTCAAGGGTAAATTATACTTTTACACAGTTTGGTCCCGACTTTTCATAAAATAGTTCTAAAAGGTCTTGAGTTCAAATTCAGATGTGTTATTGATTGGTAATTTTAATAATATAATAATATTTATTAAACTTAAATTACCTTTAGTTGGGATTTAATTTTAAAACAAGAATCTGAATTCTCTGCTCTAATTTCTCCGTGCCAATTAACATCTTGAACACTAAACAGTGTAATAGTCAAAACCGAAAAACCAATCACAGACCACGGCCGACCTTTACCGTATCCCCTGCCTCTCCGGCCCCGGCAGCGCCACGTAGATTTTCCGATGCATTCTCTTCCTCTTACGCTCGTCGTTTCCCTTCTTCTCACAGTCCTCCTGAAATTTATCTACTCCACTTTCTGGCTTCCATGGAGAATTCAAATCCACTTCCGAAAGCAAGGGATAACAGGCCCTCGCTACCGCCCGATCACCGGGAACTCCGCCGATATCCGCCGTCTGTTTTCGGAAGCACAATCGAAGCCGATTCCCTTTCACCACGATATCCTCTGTCGCGCTCTGCCTTTTTACTTCCGTTGGTCCGCCGAGTACGGGAAGACGTTTCTGTACTGGTTCGGGTCGAATCCGCGACTGGCCATATCCGACCCGGAGTTGATTAAGGAGGTGCTTGTGAATACGGGCGGGTCGTTTCGAAAGGTCGGGTTCAACCCGCTGTCGAAGGCGCTCTTCGGGGAGGGGCTTGTCGGGCTGGAGGGCCAAAAATGGGCCACGCACCGGAGGATCGCAAACCAAGCTTTCACAATCGAGCGTGTAAAGGTAATAATACGGTTTCTGTACCTGAAAAGTGAGAATCGAAAAATGATTATTGAATAGTACTTCCAAACAGTGTGTTGATAGTATGGTTTTGAATTTGATAGGGGTGGGCACCCGAAATTGTTGCTAGTGTGTGGAATGTGTTAGAGAAATGGGAGGAGATGAAGGGCGGAATGGAGGAGTTTGAATTGGAAGTCCACGAAGAATTTCGTCGGCTGTCAGCAGACGTAATTTCAAGAACCGCATTTGGAAGTAACTTTGAAGAAGGCAAACGCATCTTCGATTTGCTTGAACAGCAAACGCATCTTTTTTCCCAGGCAGTCAGAAGTGTTTATATTCCTGGCTTCAGGTTTGTTTTCAGTTCTTCGATTTGCTTTTCCCCAATTCTGAATTAGATGCTCTTTTCACTCGATTTACAAGAAAAAAGACTGGATCCCTTTTTCAATGTGCATTTTCATAACCTGGGTGGGTCTTTATTTTTTATTTTCTGGACGAGAACATGGTCTCGAATCCACTAGAAGTAGAGGAAGATATTTAGTTAGTATGAACAATAGTTTCATTCGTATAATACCAATTTACTTACAAAACTATGCAAGCTTAAATTTGAGGGGAATGATATCATACTACAGAAGAAATGTGTTGTGTTAACATTTTTTCCCCTGTGGTTAAGTCATCTTCTGGTTTTTACAAATGGAATGAAAGAGAATTTCATGTTCTTTCTTCCACTTTTGGGATGGGAGCTGGTTTAAGTTGTTTTAGCGTAATTTTATTTATTACTTGAGTTTGAATTGGAAACAAACATGAAATGAAAGTTGAAACACAGATTTTTGCCAACCAAGAAGAATAGAGAGAGGTGGAGATTGGAGAAAGAAACTCGTGAATCAATAAAACTGTTGATTGAGACTAACAGCAAAGGGAGGGAAAACTCAACTAATCTACTCGGCCTATTAATGTCATCTTACAAGAATCAAAATGGGGGAGAAGAAAGACTTGGAGTGGAGGAAATCATTGATGAATGTAAGACATTCTATTTTGCAGGAATGGAAACAACTGCTCATCTTCTAACTTGGGCCCTTCTACTGCTAGCAAAGCATCAAGAATGGCAAGACAAGGCCCGAGAAGAAGTTCTCCACATCTGCGGGTGCAAAACGCCACCTATGGCGGAGAATTTGAGCGAACTTAAAATCGTAAGTCAATAAACTCCTAATTGGGCTGGTAAAAGTGGTGATATTTTCTGGGATAAATTTCATCTTGCAGTAGTTAAAGATCTTCAATGGCAAATTTTGTTCATGGTCACTGTTGTTCTATCAATGTCCAACTACAGAGATCATTTTCAACAAACTAGGGATTTCTGAAATATATGAATGCAGATTTGCAATTTCCCACTGTTCATGATGTTATATCGCTGATTTGTGGAGTCTGTTTCGGAAGTATGCAAAAGTCTGAGAACCAATATATGAACAAAACCTTAAATTCGATTAGTAGTTGTTGCACCGTCATTTCGAAACAAGTTTTATGTATGTTGAGATATCCAAATATGAATTAAATTTTCCCAATCCATTAGTTTAAGTTTTTGGGTTGAGTGATAGTTTATTCATCATTGATATGGTATCAGAGCGAGTGTCCCTGTGTTTGAATCCTGCATTAACCTAAGTTTTTGGGCTGAGTAAATTTAATTTTTATATAAATATTTTAATACTGTACTCGTATTCATTTGTTATTGAGCGTCTCTTTTGACAGATAAGTATGATAATCAACGAAACACTTCGACTCTATCCTCCGGCAGTGATGTTGAATAGGCAGGCGTCGAAACGGCTGACGCTGCGAGGCATAGACATTCCTGCAGGCACACAACTCTACATGGCCGTAGCTGCTGTCCACCATGACACAGAGATTTGGGGAGAAGATGCCAACAGCTTCAACCCTTTGAGATTTGGTGAGCCTCGAAAACATTTAGCTTCATTTGTGCCATTTTCGTTGGGTCCTAGAATCTGTGTAGGCCAAACCATGGCGTTGGTTGAGGCCAAAATTGCGGTGGCCATGATAATTCAAAGATTCTCTTTTGTTGTTTCTCCAACCTACGCTCATGCCCCTATGCTGTTTGTAACTTTACAGCCTCAGTTTGGTGCTCAGCTCCTCCTTCGGAGCTTATGGAATTGAACTCACAGTCAGAAACTTGTGAGGCTTTGTAAACCATTTAGTATCATGTGGTGGCTTTTGTTGATGTAAAATTTTCATACTTTGAAAATTATGAAAAACTATAATAGATAATCTGTATTATAGTCGATCTAAGATCGAATTTCTTTCTCCTCCTCTGTAATGTGATATTGTGAAAAGAATAAATAAGTATGATAGTTTACTACTGCAATTCATAGGATTTGTCTCGATTTACTTTTCCAATATCATGTTAAAGTGTATCTTTTTAGTTTTTTTAAAATGAATTTGTTTGCTAATAATTTTCTCATAGCTTCTTATTACAATATTTGTAAATTACCAAAACACCATTTTATTGTTCCCTTTTAATTATGCTACGGAATGAAGAACTAAGAGGTCACCCAATGAAATATTGTTCCAAGCGTGCTTAATTTTGTAAGAACTGTGTAGTTCTTGCAATTGAATTACAAGCATTTTCTTAATCACGCTTCAATGATATCAGAATCCTTTTTATTTAGATGTGTATCAGTTCATTCATGTACCCGTGATAATCAATTGAGCTATGCTTTTTGTTAAAAATAAAATATTATTTAAATATATAGCGCAAAAATACTTTTTGGTCTCTGCTCGCCATAGTTCTTCTCATTTTCGTTCCCATCGTCATTAAGTTCCATATATCCAACATTAAAAAAATGAAGGGGAACGTTCGAAGCGTTCGTCTTCTAAATCTAGACACGAGAAACGCTTCTTTGTTATAGAATCGTGTTTTTCGTCCATATTTAAACAAAGTTCTCTGACGAGTTACAAGATAATGGATAGAGGAATTACTCAACTAATCTGAAAGGCAATTTAAAACCATTTTATAAACTTGACCAAAATATCCCCTTTATAACCATTTATTTTGTTACATTTATATATTATGCTGCAAAATTTGCGTTTTCTTTTTATAAAAATAAATAAGTTTTTTATTTTGGCCCCAACTGATTTTGTGATAAAGACATTTACTCCCAAATTAGCCATAGCCACTGTCTCATGGTCGTTTCCTGCACCAGACGTGTAACCACTAACAACAAGCGAAAGACGACCAGGGGATTGGCTAGGCCGGACTACCCAAAATACCCCCACCAAGATTCTAACCAACGAACGAGAACAAAGACATTTTCGTAAATAACACGCTTGCCCCTGTACTCCACTCTCAAGATCGGTCAAACGATACAGCGCCGAGCGTGTTAACAATAAATCTTGACTTGATTATATAATAAAATAAATACCAATTCGAATAAATTCGGGCGTTAGGGTTTTTAGATTGCGTCGGCTCCATAGAAATTTCTGGATTCAATCTCACATTCTCCTGTCAATTCTGTTCGCAGGGAAGGTCCTACTGCTACACAGGGGCCGAGCCACTCTTTTGCATAATTTCGGAGGTTCGTTTTTTCAGTTTTGCTCCATGGAAGCTTTTGAGATGGTGTCCGCCATCCAGGTCGCTGTAATTAGGGTTTCGATTTAGTTTTCATATGATTGAAGTTCCCTAGTTGAATATTGTTCCCGTATTGTCGGCGATTTTAAGTTTATCTATTTTTGGGTTATCACTTTCGAATACGTGCGTCATGTTTTATCTTTAGTTTAGTGTTAATAAGTGTATTTCCGCTTTTTTAGGAACAATCTTATGCGTTCCAACTTTCCACTAGTTCATGGATTTTTAACGAATATTTATCTCAAGAGAGGAAGAAAGTTATTTGTGCAATTGGTGCTAAAATGTTTAAAACTAGTTACTGTTGGGATCGGTCAGTAAATTTATTTTACTTGGCTAGGATTTATGGTATCAAATTTGCTGTTCATGCGATTGGGTAACGATGATTACAGAATAGGTTTTAGCTTGCTTTAGTATGAAATAAACGTGCTCGTATTTCTTTACTCATTTAGTGAACTTTTGACCTAGCAGGTTCTAATTTTCTGGAACATATTGACATGTTAATCAGGGGAAGTAATATGCATCAAGTAATTTGAAAATAGATGTTCTGGGACTGGGAGGAATGGTATTATTTCTCATACAAAGTTGTAGCAGTTGCATTCTGCACAGGAGAAGAATCAAAGAGAGGCCCTTCTGTTTAAGGGGCTAACATGCCATCTAATTATATGTCAAAACTACGAGCACCAGTTCAGTTTCTAGGGTGGGAAGGCGGATTAAAAAGTTCACTGGAACTGCTTCTTGGGCATCAAAAACTGTTGTGTGGCAATTCTAGTCTGTTTCACTCAGTACCTTATTCCTCACTTACAGAGTTGCATGCTTTCTTAAGACCTAGCACTATTTCTGGAGCTAGTTCAGAGCTAGTTAATCGTAAGAGGAATATCTCAGTTCTTGGAGCAGTTTCTCGCACATTTTCTATTCCTTCTGTGTCAGGCCCCGCTTTTCAGATCTGTGGATATCACATTGATTGTGCCACTACTGAATCCAATCAATATTCAACTCACAGCAAGTTTCAAGATAAACCAATGGCTGCTTGTGGTTCTAGAGCTGCCACACTTGGTGAATGTTCTCTTGATAGTTTAAGTTTTAGGAATGCGTACTTGTCTTCTTCAGCGATGAGTGCTAGTATTTTTTTTAACAATAAAAGTGTTGATTGCTGTCGAAAAGCCAGTATGAGTTTGAAAAATCAAGAGCAGCCTAGCAGTAACGTGATATATGGATACTTCACTTACAATATTGCAAAAAGGTTTTGCAGTAGTTATCTGCATGCTCAGTCGGGAGCAAGAGATCTTCATAGTTCACCAACTTCTCACTTTGCTGCTGGTACTGCCCCCAATGTGTCATTTGATAATTCTGCACGGGAGGAACAACTTTCCAACTCTACTGATTCATCTGAACAGTATGTTCTTTATCAGATTCCTTGTTTAAATTCAAAATATTATGGTTTAAATGCTTAGTTTAGAGCACTTTACAACTTGGGGCTTAACTTACAAGATCGAATGCTCATGAATGTCGTTGTCATCTGTACTTGTTCTTGCCTCAGAGATTGCAGTGATCCCTTGGACTTGAATGATTTAGAGATATGTGTCATATTCAGTAATTTATTTGGTCATCCAATCCTGTCATTAGTGACCCAACTATTGAGGATAAAATGTGAATACTATTGACCTTTTCAGGCTTGATATTATTTTCTGATTAAAAAGAATCTACGGTTTTTTATGAATTATCCAATATCGTTCCATAAGATGTTTTATTGTTCTTTGATCTCATAATGGAACTCTTGTACTTGCTCAATATTTCCGACACAAAGTATGCTGAGGTCCCTCCCTTCTTTTAAGTGACGGTGTGCAGTTTGAATGCAAGTGTTCCTTATTCCTTAATTTTCTACTATGTTGTTTACAGGAAGATCCCGTCAGGCAAATCCTTGAAACTAGTTTCTGGATCATGCTATCTGCCCCACCCTGATAAAGAAGATACTGGTGGAGAGGACGCTCATTTTATCTGTGTGGATGAACATGCAATAGGGGTGGCTGATGGTGTGGGTGGTTGGGCAGATCTTGGTGTAGATGCTGGACTGTATTCCCGAGAACTCATGTCTAATTCAGTTGGTGCAGTTCAAGAAGAGCCCAAGGGCTCAATTGATCCAGCTAGAGTATTGGAGAAGGCTCACTCAAAAACTAAAGCCAAAGGTTCCTCCACTGCCTGTATCATAGCGCTTACTGAACAAGTATGTTGTTTCAAAACACCAAAGTTTCACACTCTTCCATTTATTGTTCAAGTAATAGAAAATAAAAGGAGAACATAAAAACAAATGGGCGTGAAAGTAGGAGGATGATCGCCTTTTTTTTTGGAGACCAAATTCTCTGTTTTGAATTTTGAGACTCTCGATTTGGTGATTAATTATAAGGTTTATTTTTCTTAACCAAAATAATTTCTGAAAGTTTCTACTTATTTGGGGATTATAGCCTAAGTCGTCCAAGTTTTAACTTCTGGGTGGAATATATAACAAGAGAAAAGTCTTTAATGTCTTCTAGAGCTGCTACCACATGCAAAATTTTCCTCTAGAGGAGCTCGATACTTCAGATATATAATAAGAAATAGTATCTGCTAATAATTTTATGGCTGATTTCTGTACCAAGTGTTAGCTTATTTATTTCATCTTACAAGGATGTCCAGTAGGTCTTTGTTTTATTATTGCAAGATAGGTAATCGTGTAAGATATCACTGCAGGGTCTCCATGCAATCAATTTAGGAGACAGTGGATTTATGGTGGTTAGAGACGGATGCACTATCTTTAGATCTCCTGTGCAGCAGCATGATTTTAACTTCACCTTTCAACTGGAGAGTGGAAACAATGGAGATTTGCCCAGCTCTGGACAGGTTAGTATGCTCATCAGCTTCGTTGCCAGCTGTAGTTATATTTCCTGTTCTGATTTAGGAACTTGGTGATATTCTTAGCGAGTTACTTAACATATGCATTTATGTCAGATTAATAATCCCCTCCCCTTATACCAATCTGCCAACTGCCGTTCGAGATAATATGTAAGGCAGTGCCAAAACCTATATAAATATGTGAATAACCTCACATATTATAAAGGTTTGGATTTGGACTTCCTCAAACATGATCATTTGGAATATAAATTGATATAGTTTCCCATATATAGTATAGATCTTGGGACTGCCTTACATATTGTTGTTTTATTTTTTAGTAGAAGTTGAGATAGGTGGGATGGTAATTTTCTTATGTGGGCTTTTTCCTCAGACAGCTTAAATCTCAATCAGTTTTCTGCTATTTGTTTTAACTGTTGATGTATCAATTGGGTACTATGTCTTCGCCCGTTCCTTGTATGTCTTTATCTTCCTATTGATACATTCTTACTTCTTCATTTCCACCTTAAAAAATGAAAGAGAAATGACAAGTTTAGCATGCTCGAATTTGTATTTTTGTATTTTTCTTCAATGTTAAGGTATTTGAATAATTTTTGTTCGTAGAGCACTATCCTAGTTGCTTTATGAATTTACATTTACAGCGACCGGAGTTAGCATCCCCTCAAAAAATGAGTTTTATTTGGTTACTTTCTGGCAATAACTTTAACTTGATGATAATGGAGTTATCAAAATTGATTCAGGTTTTCTCCGTTCCTGTTGCTCCTGGAGATGTCATTATTGCTGGCACTGATGGGCTCTTCGATAACTTATACAACAACGAGATCACCGCAGTGGTGGTTCATGCCATGAGAGCAGGCTTAGGCTCTCAGGTGACTGCCCAGAAGATAGCTGCTCTCGCACGCCAGCGAGCTCAAGACAAAGACCGGCAAACACCTTTCTCCACTGCTGCTCAAGATGCTGGGTTCCGATATTATGGTGGCAAGCTTGACGACATCACCGTCGTCGTGTCGTATGTTACCAGCTCTAACGATCCGTGAGTGCCTCGAATATCTTCTCCCATATTTGCCTCAGCACGCTTCTGTATATAATCTTTTTCGCATTATTATTAGTAATGCTTGTTGTATCTAAGCATTCCATTGAACTATCTCAACTCTTGTCATGTTAAAGAGTGGACGATGACCCCTTTTGTATGTGAAAAAATCAGAGGCGCGAGCCATCCCCAAGTTTGAATGGTTGTATCTTTTTTTTCTACTTCCATCTGAAACCTTTTGTGCTCATCTGATGCCGTATTTGAACAAGAGACAAAAGTTCAAGGTTTATTTGGTTGTTTTTTCCTTCCCCTTTCTCCAGAAATATTTATATTTTAAATGTTCACCTAGAAGTGATCTTGTGCGGCCTTTTTTCCCCTCCCCAAGTTAACAATCTTTTTTGTTCATTCGTGGAACTTGGAAATACGATTTTTGGTCATAAGGTTGAATTCTGACTTGCTGCTACAATGTGGGTAGTTCTATGACTATGACAGTGACTCGTGTCATGTTTTGAAGACAAAACATCTTTGATGCCATTGGCCGAGTGAGGTGAGGTGGAGTGGAGTTGGAAAGTCCGTCTCTCCTAGATCTTTAGGAGGAAGGTTTTTTCCTTTTTCAAATCACTATTCAACTCTCTCTCTCTTATATTTCTTCAAGTGAGTCTTGCACGCTCACACATTTTTTCCTCTTTGCATAGGGTCACACCTTTACCTTTCTTCCCTACATCAATTTGGTAGGTCCGACAATTTCTTTATTTTTTCCTTTCATAAATTTGGTGGGTCTTTCAATACGTTCAATTTTAAGAATGATAATATAATTGTTTTTTTTCTAATTTTCTGAAATTTACGTTGCATGAGCAACATCGTGCTCGAACATAAGGCTTCATGTCCTTGCCATTACATCATCCCAAGGACAGGAAAGAAAAACCTCTAGGTGCATAAATACTTGGAGGGTAGCAATTAAATTAACAACATTTATGGGGCAATTAATCTTGATATGGAACTTTTAAGGAGGGGCATAAATGGAAGAAAAACCTCTAGGTGGGGGTGTTCTGTATTAGGCCCTAGGCCCAGGCCCAGGCCCAGGCCCAAGTTGAATATAGACTTGTAGAATCCAGAGTGGGACCAAGCCCATTAAACAGTGGTCATAAATTTAGTGAAGGTCCAAGGTTAGGGTGTTATGCAATGAAAGGCAACTAAATGACGAAAGCAACTCCAGAAGAAGAAGAACAACTCTGGATCTTCTTCTGTCATCCCATTCCCATTTTCTCTCCCTTTCCGGTCTGAACCACGACAAAATAGAAGTCGCACTCCTCTCTCTTTCCTTCAAATTCCGATGATCAGAATCTCCGGTGCGCTGAGATAACTGAAAATACCACACCACCATTGCCATATTTATGGATTCGTAACTGTCCGTTCCTTCTACTTGAAGGAAACGCCCAATCTTTAAAACTCGAAGAAGCAGGATTCTTCGTTTTTTTCGTTTAAAGTGGTTTCTATACCCTGCTGCTTCACTCACTCGGAGCTGCGCCTGGATTTCTATATGGCCGGTCGTAAGGACAAAGCTCAGTCAGCTCGCGTGTCTCGGGTTGCCGTCGCTATCGGAATCGGAATTCTAATTGGGTGTGTTTTTGCTTTCTTACATCCTCATGGGTTTTTCGACTCTGATCTGCCTATCCGAAACCGTCGACTCGGGAAATCGGAGTTCCAGGTTTGGTACTTGTTGCCCTAATTCCCGTTTCTGTGCGATTCTGAATTTATTTCCAATTTGAATTCTTATTTATCGTTTCTGATAGCGGCATGAATCTGAATGGGCAAATACGTATTTAGAGAAAATTCTAATTAATCTCTTACCACGGCTGAGGGAGTGAACTTTAACCTTAGACTTTCAATCTCATAAAATTGAGTGGTGAGGTTAATACTGAATTAGTTAAATTTTCAGATTTTTAGCTAGCACGAGCGTTATTGTGGCTGGATCAGTAATTCTGGTGGTTGTGTATAGTTTTTACTTGGGTTTATATTTTCTTGGTTGGATTGTGTATTTCTTTTGAGTTTGTACTTCTTAAAAAGTGAACGTTAAAATTGACTCACTGAATTGAGTAAGTACGAGTACTAGTTCTTATGATAACTATTCTACAGGATTAACCTTTTGGAGGCTCTGGTAATTCAGAACATTTCCATGTTCCAAAAATATTACACGTACAGTAGAGGCTCAACTGAATTCAGTCTTTTCATTTCAATTAAGAAGATGAACGTAACATTATCTAATGATCTTTTTCAGTTTATTTCTAGCTTTATTACGCTGTGCCTCGAGCTTAATTGAGTAAATCTTGAGTGGGCATGGAGTATTTACTCAGTTTGGACTTGCTACGAAAGTTTGTTCCAGGAACGTCCACTGGTTTATTATCTTAAACTTGGTACTTAAGAGATTAACTGCACTGAATATTGATGGTATCTTTAGTCTTTCCGAGATCACAGATGCGACAAAGGAAGCTTTTTGTATATCCTTAATTTCCCAACTTTTCCCTCTTTTACAGGTTCAGTCTTCTTCCCCATGTGAATCTTCGGAGCGGTTCAAGATGCTTAAAGGTGATGTTGTTTCAATATTAGATAAGAACTCCCTGTTGGAGAAGCGTATCAGGGATTTAACAAGGGAGCTGAGGATAGTGGAACAAGCGAAAGATCATGCACAGAAGCAATATTTGGCGCTTGGTGAAAATCACAAGGCTGGTCCGTTTGGTACTGTCAAGGGTCTTAGAACCAACCCTACCGTAATCCCTGATGAATCCGTGAATCCTCGACTGGCAAAACTCTTGGAGAAAGTTGCTGTTAATAAAGAGCTTATTGTGACACTTGCAAATTCTAATGTAAAACCCATGTTGGAGGTCTGGTTTACCAGCATCAAGAAAGTCGGCATACCAAATTATTTAGTCGTGGCTCTGGACGACCAGACAGAAGATCTCTGCATATCCCAAGATGTTCCTGTCTACAAGAGAGATCCAGACAAGAGCATTGATTCGGTTGGAAAGGGAGGAGGCAACCATGAAGTCTCTGCATTGAAGTTTCGCATTCTGAGGGAGTTCTTGCAACTTGGATACAGTGTTCTTCTCTCGGACGTTGATATAGTCTACATACAGAACCCTTTTGATCATCTCTACCGTGATTCAGATGTGGAGTCAATGAGCGATGGTCACAACAACATGACAGCTTATGGATACAATGATGTATTTGATGAACCCGCCATGGGTTGGGCTCGATACGCACACACTATGAGAATATGGGTTTACAACTCTGGTTTCTTCTTCATTAGGCCTACACTTCCTTCATTTGAGCTTTTAGATCGTGTCGCGACTCGGCTTTCTCAAGAAAAGGCATGGGACCAAGCTGTGTTTAACGAGGAACTCTTTTTTCCTTCACGTCCTGGATGCGACGGCCTTCACGCCTCCAAGAGAACCATGGATATGTATCTCTTCATGAACAGTAAGGTACTCTTCAAGACCGTTCGGAAGGATGCGAGACTCAGACAGTTGAAACCCGTCATTGTTCATATAAATTACCATCCCAACAAATATCCTAGAATGAAAGCAGTCGTAGAATTCTTCGTCAATGGTAAGCAAAACGCTCTGGACTCATTCCCAGATGGTTCTGAATGACAAGACCCTCCTGTAGCACACATCATCACAGAGCCGAGTTTTAAACAATTCAGCTGCTACAAGAAAGATTCATTTGATAATCATCCCTTCAGAAAAAAAGAAAGCACTGCAAACAATTCACCTGTTATTCTCTTCTCCGAGGTTTTTGCCGATGTACTTCTGTAAGAACATCGGTAACGATGTAACTAAGATTGAGAAAACTTTATCTTCTGCAAAAGGAAAAAATTTCCTTGACTTATTACACCATTATGGGTCTATGTTATTGTTCTTCCATGTGTTTGTAAGGTTGTTTGCTCGTGTAATGTGCCCATAATGTTGAACCAAAAATCATGTGCCAGTGACAATCTCACTGTGACGACAGCTTGTCTTTCCTAACTTTTGGCACTATCTGTAGAAGAGAAGAGACTTCGAATTAATGGACATCACAAAAATTTCAGATGAATGGCCACCAAGAGAATTTTAATTGGTCTGCGCAGCCTAATTCCAAAAAACCAGCCTAATGACCCTTCTTTATTTGGCAGGAGTTCCTTCTTATCCAATATCCACAAAATCAAATCTTCTCCAACTGCTTGTGTGGCTTAAATCCCAGATGGCTCCCTGAGTCAGCCCCACTTTTGTCTTCTTCTTCTGTGTTTTCGTTTTCCACAACTTCTGTTTTCTCCTCTGAAGGCTTTTTTTCCTCTATATCATGCTTTCAACTTCCTCTGCAACTGTTTTTAGAGAAATTGAGATACCTTGAGGAGGAACTCGCGGGTTCGCCATTCCCGCCAATTGTCATTTGAAATTGAAGCGGCTGAAGTAAGAATTAGCTAGGGAGGAGGATTTTTTTTTTTTTTTTCCCTGGGGGAGATGGGGGTTTGTTGAGGGAGGAAATGGAGAAATTGTCGCAGAGAGAGAGCACTCTTTTGGGTTATTCACTTCAGAGATCATTCACGAACCCTTCTTCATCGCCTAGGGCTCCGTATCGTAACTCAGACGATGTTGATTTTCACGACGTGTTCGGTGGCCCTCCGAGAAGGCGGTCGTCGGTTAACGAGGCGCGGTACAGCTTCACGGAGACGGTGGATTCCTTCGCATTGAGAGGCGGGGACGGTGAAGCGCCGCCGTGGTCCGGTTTGAATGAGAAACCGGTGTTCGGAGAAGAAGGTGGTCACGCGCGGCGATTTCCGAGCGATGATTTTTACGATGATATCTTTAAGGGCGATGAATCGGCGGCTTCTTCACCACGCCGAGACGTTTTCTCTTCGATTTCGGATTCGAGGGTTCTGAGTCCGGCTAGGCCTCTTCCACCTCCGGCAGAGCCCTTCGGAAGTTCTTCCCTCCCTGCCCAATTAAGGTTCTTCTTCACTTGGCTTAATTTTCTTACATTATTACGTTTCTAAAGGGAAGTTACTTTTTTTTCTTTTTTCTAAGTGTCCGAATTTTCAAAAACTACACTGTAGCATAGAACATCGTAAATTAATTTTTTTAAATTTTAGGGTTACATTAGATGTTTTTTTAAAGAACAACAAAGCTATGCTCATATTGGGATGTTTGGTCTCTAAATTTAATTGTGTTTAATAAGCTTTTAAATTTAGAAAAGTGAATGATGTAAAAATTAAAAAAAAAAAATTAGAAAAGTGAACATCTGTTCTTTTCTAAAAAATAAAGTGTTCAATAACTTCTTAATATTTTGATAAATTTCTAAACTTAAAAAAATATTTAATTTTTTTAATAAGTTACTGAATTGAATTTTAAATTTTATGTTCAATAAATTTCTAAACTTTTAATTTATGTATATTTGATTTATATGATATTTTTTAAAGCAAAATTTAAATTCATCAAATTTTTAACAATTTTTAAAATTTAGGTAAAATTGAAAGTTTAAAGGAGTCTAAGGAGCTAAACTAGTTAAGGTAGATAGGTTAAATTGTCCCTCATGCATTTTGCTAACACTCAAGGGTAGATGAGGAAAAAGGAAATTAAAAAAAAAACGTGAAATTTGATGACTGAAGTGATGATTTAATCAAGATTTAGCTAATAACTCGGATCAAAACGATGGAGAAAACAGGCAATGATCATGGATTTCATCCCTAAACTTTATGAGCGGCTAATTTTCTAAGCTTTGATGAATGAATGGGCTCTTTGTATCTAGTCTTGATGTTCTTGTGGCTCCGGCTGCCATGTGATAGATATTTTTGTTAACGTCTTACTTCTGTTCTTCTGTTTCTTGTGCCAGCCTACCATCAAGATCGGCCAAAGGGACTGACCTGCCAGCGTTTGGATCGACTTCTCCGAACCCGTTCAGAAACAAGGACAGTGTTTCAAATGGAAGCCATACAAATTCTTCTAGGTTCGCTCTCTCTAGATTTTCTTCTAGCACATCGAGCCATCGTCACGAGGATCTTAAAAGCGATTACAATTCGTCTGATCGTACTGGTCTTCTGTCATCTGAATTCCAACATCTTAGCAGTGAGGAAGCATCATCCTTCAGAAAGTCTGATAATACATTGAGTGGGAACAGTTCAACCAAAGAAGTAGATAGTTTAGAAGATTCAACTGCAGGTGGTCAGTTTCAGTTTCATTTCTCAATCTACAAATGGGCAAGCAAAGGGGTGCCTCTGATGATGCCACTGAGAGGAGGGAACGCTTCGAGATTAAGAGAAAAAGCTATGCTTCGGAGAAGCTCGAGCTCAACGGATAGGGTAGCGAAGGAGAAGAATGAGATGCAGTCCCCTACGTCGACTATACATAATATTGATTTTCCTCCCATTTTTCATGAAACAACTAATCTCAATGATGAAAAAGGAACTGGTTTACTGCCTGACATTGATGCTGAAGATCAAAGAAGGCCCGGTCGAAGTTTTGAGCAAACAAATTCAGCTGCACCTTCAGGAAACTTGAGCAGACAGAGTTCTCGTAAGGGTGTTGGTAGTGATAACATCATGAACCAAACAGGGGAAAAGGTAAGACCTCGTTCTTTGTCCGAGACCATTCCGAGTGAAAAAGCAGAGAAAAAGACCGCTCTGATTACAAATGAAGATCAAAAGCAGGAACGTAAATCTCTAAGTTCCTTCCTACTCTATAATGATGATGAACAAGGTATGTTCTATTGCGACACAACTTCCTTTCGTGTTTGTTTTATATGGTTCTCATTACCGGTCTTATTTTGTGCAGGTGAAGAAGGGATATCTAAAGAGTATCGTAAAGAGGTAACCGCGGCAAAAAGTGACAAGAAATCATCTATGCCTTCGGATTTAAGTAGCAGCCCAAAGAAACAGGACAAAAAAACTTCACCGAGAAATCCAGAAGTAAAAAAATCCAGTTTCCAAAGTTCAGACACGGAATCTGGACATAACATTGGCAGAAAAAAAGTTGGTGGAAAAATCTCGGAGTTTGTTAAGATTTTCAACCAAGAACCTGCTCCAAAATCCCGAGATGTAGTTGACTCAGAAAACGATACCTCTACAAGGAAACAAGAAGGAATTTCAAAAGCTCAAATTGAAGCAACTGTCAAAAAAATAAGCAAGGATGAGAAAGAGAAACCTAAGTTGAATATCAATACAGATGCTTCCATCAAGGTACTGATTAAAAATAAATCAACCATCTCTAGCAGATATGACTCACGCTCTTTTACTCCATTGAAGATAAGGATTGGTAAGTAAAAAATATTCTTGATGATCCTTAATTTTCAATCTTTGTAGGTAAATGATGTTCTAAAGCAGTCAGTGGATGATCACTCTGCTAAAAAGACTTATAGCTCCAATTCTTCCAAAGAGGATAGCTCAGTACCAGGTTAGTCATAGTAGTCTAATTGGGGCTTGGTGCAACAACACCTAGAAATAAACAAAGTTGTAAATGTTCGGAAATATTGACACGAAATGGACTCTAATCTTTTAGGTAATTCTCAGTTTTATGTATAAAAATATTTCAATGATGTTAAAATTTGTTGGCAAAAAGTTGAAATATCATTAAATTATTCAGATGCCACTTGACCTGTGAAATCCAACTCACTCGACAAAATTCATTTCTTTCCAATGGCACGTTCAAGTATGTCCACATGTTAACAAAATAATAACTTAAACTACAAATTAACTTTTGATTAACAAACTTTAACACATTTTTCTGTGGAACCACTCAATTGAGAATTTTTAGTACATTAAAGGTATAATTGAAAGTTCAAAAAGATTCTGGGCAAAGTTGAGAAAAATCTTATTTACCAAAAAATGAAATAGAAGTTATGTTGTTCTCACGCCAAATTTTCATCCAGTGTATCTTATTTGTCTGTTTTTGTTTGATTACACATATACTATTAAAGATTCAATCATCTGATAACAATTTTATTTCTTTATATCAGTTCACATTCCCGTTGTCTCTAAGCCTAAAGTGCCAGATATGGAGGAGCCATTCCAAGAGAATTTCATGGTATGTTAAATAGATTCTATCTAGTTTTTTGCACACAAAATGCTTAGATCCCATATGGACTGAATTCTTTGTATTGGTCATCTCCTTTCTTATTCCATACCTAACTATCTAACAAGCTGATTCGGTTGGTTTGTGATCAGGTAAAGGAGTTACCACAAGAGTACGAGAGGGAAAAGGTGAACAATCTCGAAGAATTCCGAGTAATGCATCTCAAATTAAATACATGTATTTGTTGTTATTGCAGCATGTGAGGAAGTAAACCAATACGAACTTCTTATGATGCAGGCTATCGATGCTAAAATACAACAATGGTCAAACGGGAAGGAAGGGAATATACGTTCGCTACTATCAACTTTGCAATCTGTGAGACTCTTATCTTATTAGCTATGTTGGTTGGCAAGCAATTTACATGGTCTTAGATGCTTTGCTTCACCATTTACATTTTTTAACTCGAGAAGAACATTTTGGTTAAATTTCAAGTCTGATCTCTGAACTTTCAAAATTATGTTTATTTAATTCAGTTTAAAAGTTTTTAATAGGTCCCAACATTTTTAATTTTGTGTCTAATAGATCCCTTATCATTAACTTGAGTAGTTTAACACTTCATAACATGGTTACTGTATTATTTTTAAGGATTACTTGATGAGTTGATTTTGAGCTTGTTAGGTATTTGGTGGTGCAAATTTTAAAATTGCTGGTAGGGACCTATTAGAAACTTTTAAAAGTAAAAGGATGAAATAGACATGTAAATTTGAAAGTTAAGAGACTTATTAGAAACTTTTTAAAGTACATGAGTGAACTAAATTGATACAACCCTTCAAGTTCATGGACTAAACTTATAATTTAACTGAGCGTTTCCTGTGATTATTACATCTGTAGTTCATTCTCGAGATCTACGCTCGACGTTTCTTCAATTTCTATAAACTATTGGTTGGTGTGCAAGGTTCTTTGGCCTAAGAGCGGTTGGAAACCCGTCCCTCTTGTGGATATAATCGAAGGAAGTGCAGTCAAAAGATCTTATCAGAAAGCTCTGTTATACCTACACCCTGATAAGCTACAACAGAAGGGTGCTTCATCAGATCAGAAGTATATAGCAGCAAAAGTTTTTGATATATTACAGGTATTCAAGTTTAATTCTGCATACCAAATTCAGACAGAACCAAACATAAATTGTCTCTTTAACCGTTGTGTTTCATTAATCTTAACGAAAGCCAAATAGTTTTGAGGTTTTTCTTTGGATCCATGTAGGAGGCTTGGACTCATTTCAGTACGATGAGTGGATTATGATATCATGAAATCACAGCATTAAGGAAATGAGGTGCGCACAAACAAGTGTCTATATTCAGCTTTTTAAAGTGTTATTTGCATTTACATACGTAGAAATATTGAAATGTTCTTTAATATAGAAAATAAAATTGAAATATTTTCGTTTATTGATTACAGAATAATGCTTTTCATTATACCCATTGCCCTTTGATAGACATCTGTAATGTAATATAATATTGTAAAAAGAAAAAAATAAAGACTTGGAAAAATATGGGAAATAATTTGATTGGAGAATGCCATGGATAAAGGCCTTTTGAAATAGAAGTTCATTGGGGCTTGGTGGGTCAAAATGTTGGAATGAAAGGAAGTTTTTTATTTTTTTAAAATATATAAATGTAAAGATGGGGGTTAAACTTCCGACCTTTTGGTCTTGGATATATATCCTAAGTTGGTTTCGAATGAAAATAAAACTTGTTATATTGCCAACATCTTTAATTGCACTCAAATTATTTCTCTTGTTTCTGCACTTTTAAAAGTTCTAAATATTTTTAACTTCTACCTCATCAATTTTAATGGTCCTACTACTCAATTCATGAGGTTAAAAAATTAATCGATCGTATTAACATCATGTCAATCAAATGGCAGTCGAGAACTATTGGTACCTTACAAAGGAAAGTTTAAATAATTGTAAATAATATTTTTGTCGTAGCAATTTAGACTTTTGTTTATTTTAAATCTTATACTTTCGAAATATTTATTTTGGTTTTGTAATTTTAATTTTGGTTCATTTTAGTCCTTATATTCTTAAAATGTTTATTTTTGTCTTTGTACTTTTACAAAGTGATTAATTTGGTCTCTATTTGTAAAATTTTAGTACATTTTATATATGATAGAAATATTTTAATATAAATTTATAGCTATATTTCAAGAATTTAATGAGTAAAATATCAGGTTAAAATTATGAATCACAAGAAATTTGATAAAAGTAAAAATAAAATGATCAAAATAGTTACTTTTTAAAAATACAATTCGAAAGTAAAGATACTAAAATGAACTAAAGTTGGAAATACATAAATAAAAAAATAAATTAAAATTAAAAATACATGGACTAAAATAAATATTTGGAAGTCTAGGTACTAAAATTTTTATCACAATGAGTTGCAAACAGAAAGTAATTAAACAAAAATAAAAATAGAAAATCAAAGTCGATGAATAAACTAAAACTTTCAATATTATCTTAAAAATTAAAAAAAAAAAAAAAACTCTATGGTAGGGGCAAAATTGGCAGAAACAGAAAAAGACGACGTAAACTACGGGGGCAAAGCTCAGTTTTCTGAATTTGGGCCGCGAATAGATGGGCTCAGAACTAAAGATTTAAAATGATGAAGCCCATGAATAAGGAAGCGGCCCACTAAATCAAAATTTTGCAGATGATCCCATTTTTCTTTAATGGAGGTAGCCGTTGGTTACCCACTATTGTTGTTCTTTTTGTATTGTCTGGTGCGGGTGAGGGGTGAGGAACTTTTGGATTCTTTTTGTAAACGGTAAGGAAGTTGGCCATATACAACGCGACACGTGTGCTTTTTAAGTTTTTTCCACATCAACAACTGACTGTGACCCTTTGCCAAAGCCTTCCTTTGCCATTTCCAACTTCCTTCCACAAATACCCCCATTCCCATTTATACCCTTCCACGTCTTCACAAATCACGACCTATCCCTCTCCATTTTTCAAATATTCGTTTTATTAGCATTTCATTGTTGTTATATTATAAATTAGCCTAAAAAACTCAGGGGTGTGCCTGGTTTAATTTTAAAAAATAATCAACTAATTCTAATTCTAATAACTTGTTGGTATCAATTACTATCACAGATATGAGCCGCAAATAAAACCAACAAATAAAGATTTCACGTAACATGATTTAAGAGTAGTTCTTCCATGTAAATTAAAAACATACAACGCATAAAAAATTTACAAAAAGACGACGTGTGAAATACATTTTAAATTGAATATTTTTTATTTTTTTGGTATATTTACCTTCATTTCCTTTAGTTACTTTACTTTTTTGTGTCACTTAATCATGCAAATCATTACTCCTAATTTAATTAACATGTCACATCAACATTCAAGTAATGAAATTAACAACATAGGTTTATTAAAAAGAAAGTTTAAAACGACTTAAGGATATAATAAAAATTGAAACCTTTTTTAATTATCAAAATTGACAAACTAAGTTTGAAATCTGCATTTATTATTTGGAGTAGATGACTTATGACTTAATTATTTACCCTTTTTAAACTATACATTTTTTATTTTCTAACACATTTACCCAATGGGCAAGTAGACTGACATGTGCTCTTAATATAATGTTGAAATATTAACTTATTCCTCCAAAAATATTAAATTACTATTAGTCCTTTGGAGGTAAATCAATGGTTTGACTTAGCTGAAAATTATATCTATATATTTTATATATTTATTGAGTTTAATAATAAGTAGAGGGGATAGTTTGATCATCTAACTTAGTTACAATAGATTAGTTATTTGAATTATTCTTAAGTTATATTTTATTTTTAATCAGATAGACTTAATTGAGTTGGTAAAATTCTACGGGTGTTGTTATTTAAAAAAAAAATATATCAAATAACATACTCACCTACATTATTTTCACAATATATAATGCAAAAAATTAAAATAATAACAATGTCCTAATATCATTGAATTGTAGAAATAAAAGGGCAAGGGGAATTCTCTTGCCTTTCCATTTTCCAATGAATTACGTAAATAGACTTAAATAAGGTACACCGTTCATTTTTCTTCAATTTTATATGAGAATGGTTCAAATGTAAATATTGATGGTACGTAGGGGTAAATTGGGTTATTGGGCCATCCTACGTGAAGACAAATCGGTTAAAGTCCATCTCCACGTGTGCATTGTCACCGGCTATTGCAGGTTTCCCGTCCAAATCCAAAGCGAGCCTTCCGCTTAAAATTCCTCTCAACAATCGACCCGTTTCTTCGTCGTTCTCCGCCCACAGAGTCTCTGTTCTCTCTCTCTCTGTTACGCCCTTCTGTTCTGCTTCTGCACTGCCAAACCCTAGGGCTTTCTCGCAAGTATTTTCCCCTTCATCATCAATAATCCCTACATTTTCGTCTCGAAATCGCCTAGTTGTCTTGAAATTTTGACGTTCCCGGAGATAGCTTCGTTTTGATTCAGACCGAATTCGATTTTAGAAGGAATTTACGCGGACGGATATCTTTCTTGAGCAATGTATGTGGCTGCGAAGTTCCGATCGCACGCTAAGCCGGTTTTGGAGTCCCGAGCAATTCTTGGACCCGGCGGGAACAGAGATAGGGTCCCTGAGAAGCCGAGATGCAAACACGAGACGACGTTGACGAAGACGGAGAAGCAGAACAAGGCACTTCCGGCGGTTCCGGATTCGGTTATTCGGGATAATGTCTCCGTCGGTAGTTCATGTTCTTCCGATTCTTTATCAAGCAACTATTCGGCCAAATTGTTGAATCCGAAAGTGAAGCCCTACGCCGTGAAACCTGTAAAGGCTGTTGCTGCCGGCAGTGAGGCAGACGCAACCACAACGTCCCCCAGGCACTCCGTTCCGCGTAAACGGTGTGATTGGATAACGCCTTATTCTGGTAAGCAAGCTTAAGCTCTGTTTGTCATTGACTATTACTTGCTTTAACTAATTAAGTAGAATCTTCTGGTTGTTGAGAAAGTGATGGATATGAGAAGGATAAGAAACAAATGGGAATTTCTATTCCGAACATAAAATTTGTTTAATCTCGATTTAATTATCATATTGTAATTTGTACTTGCACTGCAGTCTTTTTCTTTTTTCTTTTTTTAATGCAATTAAATTCATATTTTATTAAGAGGAGAACATCAGAGCACTGTTAATATATAGATTTAGAATAATAATAATCAAATTACTTAGAATAAATATTTCGGTTAGGTACGTTCTAAAAAATATATAAAACTGAGTTTTCTGTTTATTAATCATTAATCGATTTTGAGATAATGTGGTGACCTACCAACCTGAGTATAATTTCTTAAAAAAAAAAAAGAAAGAAAAGTGGTGCATAATACAAATAATTATACATTTATGTTGAGGGTTAGATGTTTGAATCTTTTTTAATATTTTTACTTTGATAATTAAATCGCATTTAATTAGCATTTTTTTTCTAATTTTATGTTTGTATCATACTTATTTGTTCACAATTTCTTTGACATACAACTTTCTTAAAACCACCTTCAATCGTTTAGCCAAATTTCAAAATAATAAGTTTTTTTTAATTACTTTAGTTTTCAAAATTTGACTTAGATTTAAAAAATGTTTTTGAAAGATAGAAGGAAAACATGGATGAAATGAGTGTTTGTAAAACAAAATAGTTATCAAATTAGATATAAAGTAACCCTTTCATTTTGAATTTTAATATCTTTTTAATCTTGTAATGTAATATGATGGTTTCTTGTGGTAGACCCACTTTACATCGCTTTTCATGACGAAGAATGGGGAGTCCCAATTCATGATGACAAGAAGCTGTTTGAGTTACTTGTATTATCACAAGCCTTAGCAGAACTTACTTGGCCCTCGATTCTTAGCAAGAGAGACGTATTTAGGTATACTTCTATTTCTTATTTTTGGCCCAAAACTTCTATAAAAATATCGGCTCCCTAAAAGTATAATGTTCTGAGGATGCTATTACTTCTCGTCTTGGCAGGAAAGTTTTTAATGATTTTGACCCATCTTCCATCGCTAAGTTCACAGAGAATGAGTTTGCAACACTAAAAGTTAATGGCATCCAGGTTCTGACTGAACCAAAGCTTCGTGCAATCGTGGAGAATGCTAATCAAGTACTCAAGGTATTGCATTTTTCATTTTTGTTAAGCTTTAGCACTTTCCTGCCTATTGTTAAAAGCCAAAGCCATCCACAGGAGGAAGGCGTTTGGCAGTCTCAACTTCCATCACTTTCAAGTGGTTGATAGCTGAATCTCTACGTTTTCATTGCCTTTTTACCCCACTTCACAGATTCAACAGGAATTTGGTTCCTTTAGCAACTACTGTTGGAGCTTTGTTAACAAGAAGCCTATACGAAACAGATTTCGATATGCTCGTCAAGTACCCGTAAAGACGCCGAAAGCAGAGTCCATGAGCAAGGATCTGATCCGGAGAGGGTTCCGATGTGTCGGGCCAACCGTGGTTTATTCCTTCATGCAGGTTACCGGAATTGTCAACGATCACTTGGTGAATTGCTTCAGATATCAAGAATGTGATGCAAATGTAAAAGACGATATGAAACCAAGAGTAGAAGATCTGAGGTTGGAGTTGCATAACGGAGCTTCGGAGAAGCCTTGCTTGTCAAGATCTTGACTAGATTGAAGAAGAAAGGTTATCTCTAACTAATCTTACAAATCACTGTAATAAAATGTCGCTGATGTTGAACACGTGTAGTGCTGAGTAGTTACGTTTGAGTTCGTTTTTGTTCAGAATTTATAATTTGCCTTCTTTGTAGATGTATTAACATTGATTTTATGCATGATTTAATTGTAATTTGTATTAACAGACGACAAACCCATGTTGGTTTCCTGTAATTATTTCTGAAACTGCAGAATGTGCTTTCCTTGGTCGAGCAGAAGAAAAAGGGCATTCATCTCAAATGTCAAAGCTCGCTCCCTTTGGTAAAAATTTTTTATTATTATTTTTGTTTCTGATTCTTTAAATTGCGCTTGATTTGTGCTTTTCACATTAAATTTTAAAAATAAAATTAAGTTTTTATAGGTTTTTTTTTATTTTTAAAAATTGGCTTGGATTTTTATACGTCTTTAAATAATAGATATCAATGTGGAAGTAGTGTTTATAAACTTAATTTTTTAGAACAAAATCATAATGATTATTAAATGAAATTCAAGATGTAAAGCATTTTGCACGATAAACTAGGTTTGAGTTTTGTTTTTGTTTCTTAACTTGCATTTTTTAAAATTATATTTTAATCTCAACCTTTTGTAACTAATTTTAGTCTTTGTGCTTGACAAATATAGCTTAGAGTTAAAAAATCCATCAAACAATTAATTTGAGTGCTAAAGAAAGGAACTATTCTTTTTAATTTAGTAACTAAAAACATATTTGTAAAATCTTAGAGAGCTACTATCATCTCTATCATTCTTTTTACCAAAATTTTGAATAAATTACCAACAATGCAAAACAATTCAACTTAAATATTGCATAGTTTGGAATCATTACCATCATTAAAGTCGATAATTTGATATTTACTTTTAATTTCATCAAACTAAAACTTAAATTTAGAAGAACGATTTTCCCTCTCAATACAACAAAAACGAGGTGGAAATTTGAAAAAAATGAGTAAATGCCTTTGTCGCCTAACTATGCTAGTAAACTTAAAAGTACAATTAATACCTCCTCAAAATCGAAAAACATAGCTTGCTCCTAAACCAACCAATAAAAACACTACAAAATTAAGCTACAAAAATGCCCTAACTGAATTGTGAAAATACTGAAACCATTTACAGTTTTGATTAAGGATTTAGAAATACAATGTTTAAAAAATTTTGAAGTTGAAAAAAGAAAATGAAGAAAATAAATTGATGGTTGAAATTGATAGGTCGGAAGGGGGAGTGGATGACACAAGAGATACAGCTTTCGTCGGCTTTATACGTTGAAGGAAGGGACAATCTTTCTTCGTTTTGGTAATGGATAAAGCTATCGTTATCCATCCAATCCACTGTCGTTTCGATAATCGACGGTCCACGATTCCTTATTTTGGCGGGAATACATCCGACGGATGGGAATCCCCCTTGGCCCTTCCTTTTCAACGTCTGCGCGCCAACGAATATGATATAATCCCCAACTGTGACAAATTTTTATACCACGGCCCCCTTGCACCAATACGTATATTATATGTATATATTAAATAATTTTACAAACAAAAAAAAATTAAATTAACCATTTCACTTTTAAAAATACTTTTTTTTAGTACAACATATGGGATGAGGGATCAGACTCACAATCTCTTTGTTGGAAGTATATGTCAATTACCGTTGAGCTATGCTCGTTTTGACTCACTTCTAAAAATATTAATTAGATTTTTTTTTCTGAATTTTAACATTGGCTACCTTTTATTTTCACACGAGGTTTTGATATAAATTTAAAATAAAAAATTGTATAATTTTCATGTATCCGGTCATAATATTTAAAAATTAGATTAAAAAAAATATTCTAATAAACATGTAATCTAGAATTTCTCAGCGAAAAAAACATGTGGTCCAAAATAAGTTTGATTATACCATATACAAATTCTACTTTATGATCGTCGGTAAATAAATAAAAATTACTAATGTGATTAAAAGTTTCATTTTGATCATCGTAGTCCTAAAATTTTAGATTCGTTCTTTATAGTTAGATTGATTTTCACAAATTATTTACCTTATTTTCCGACATGGTACATTTTCTATTAACCGACAATGATTCATTGTGTTTATATTTAACTAATCGTGTTAAATGACTGTATTACATTTTAAACTGAATAACAAGTAGGGAAAAATAGATTGATTTTAAGATAGAAAAAAATCAGTATGAAAGAGACAATTACGAAAACTAACAAAATAATAAGACCAAATTGAATTAAACAATAGAACCCACCCAACCCAAATACTATGATCAAGACAAAACTGAAGTAAAACTAAAACTATTAGTCGAAATTATGACTGTAACCAAATCTAACTTATTAGCCAAATATTAAAAAAAAAATACAGTTATTAAAGCTCTTAGGGTCATTTAAAAAAATTATATATGTTTTAACTTATCATTTCTTTTGTACATTCCTCATTTTCCTTCAAAACACATTTTAGTTTCCAGCAAAATTTAAAAAACAAATATTTTGAAGATAGCAAAGAAATTTCCAGACAGCAACAAACGGAATGGTTAACATACCAATTATTATTTAAATGCCAAGATATCCAAAACAATTAATTCACAAACATTAATGATTAAACAAAATAGAAATATGAAGAAGAAGATACAGTGTTCGAAAGGACACCAAGTTGATGAGACCGACAGTACAAAAGCTGTGGGTTCCAACGTAATTTCAGGCAGCATTCGTTTTGGTTGACTAATGTCTGGTTCTCTCTAATCCAACCCCCCTCTCTCTTTTTTTATTTTCTTTCTTAAATTCCAACATTCATTAATAAATATTAACCCAAAAAAAAAAAAGGAAAAAAAAAAACAGCACTTACAGCTACAAGTTTTCTGCTGGCTTCCGTGTCCACAGACACTGAAATAATATCATCAGGGGTAGTCTCGTCATTTCACCTCTCACCCCTGTCGCCTTGCCTGCCACATTACCTGTATCCAAAAACCGCTAGCGGTTTTGCATCCTGTCGAGTTTCTTACAACAAACGTAATTACCACATTTTTCCCTCTTTTTTTTCATAAAGAAAAAAGGACAAAATAAAATCGTAAGGGAAATTTCTTTTTCCCCCTTTTTTTTTTTGGATATATTCGATTGCTTTACTGTGATTTTTTTAAGAGGGGGAGAAGGAGATATTATTTTAAAGGCGCGATTAATAGGAATAATAAAAAAGATGATTTTTGGTAAAGAATTGTGGAGAGTGATATATTTTTTACGTGGCGTCCTGTGATTGGTTGCTTTGACGACGTCGGGATTCGTAGCAATACACCAATTAAATAATACAAGTCACTCTCAATTTCTCTCTCTCACATAAAGCACACACTTTCTCTCTCCTCTCTCTCTCTCTTACTCTGCTCTGTGTTTGTTGTCAACGAAAAATCCCAAAATTTATCAGCGATTTCGCTGTCTCTTGCCGCTGAAATTCCCGGAAACATGCTACAAACTGCATGATCTTTCTGTTTCGTGCAATTTCGGAGCTCTTTAACCCTCTAATTTTGCGGTATTCGCTCGCAATTGATCGCTGGCGAACTCGGGAATGCTTGAAGCAGTAGAGAGCTCCGTCAATGGCGGCTTCTCGCAGCTGCAGAGCAGTGGCGATAGTAGTGAGGAGGAGCTCTCCGTTCTACCTCGCCATACCAAAGTGGTCGTCACCGGAAACAACCGCACCAAATCGGTGCTCGTTGGACTCCAAGGCGTCGTTAAGAAGGCCGTTGGTTTGGGCGGGTGGCATTGGCTGGTACGTCTCTCTCTCTCTCTCTCGAATTAGCTTGGTTCTGTAATTCGACCTAGGGGATCAATTTCGAGTATCAATGCGGTTTTCCCCAATTCTCAATTAAGTTTCTTCCAAATTTTTTAATCAATTTTGTCGTGGATTCCAGTTATCATAGTTAGGTGAATTCGTTTCTTGCATCCGTTTGAAATTTATGAATTGGCTTTACATAGGGTTTCAATTTTGAGCTTTGAGATATGAAATGCATGTTCAATTTGACCTATGGATCTGGTTACTTGAGATGGGTTTTCTTCTTTTACAATGCAAAACTCTATTTAATGCGATGCGATTATGGATAATCTTGTGGAATATCAAGTCTCAAGTTTTTGAGTTCATAATTTCACGAATATCTCAGATTAGGTTTTAAATTAAGTTTGGATATTCTTCCAGTTAAGTTTTAAATTTGTTTCCATGTTAATCTAGCTGTCGCATTGATTTTAGAACAGTGCGATTGCTCTTTAGACTTCTTCAGGTCACCATGATTAGGTATATTCTAGGTTCAGCATTTAATTTTGGTATTAAAAAAAATCCTCAGGTTCTCACAAACGGCATAGAAGTTAAGTTACAGCGAAATGCCCTCAGCGTTATCGAAGCCCCAACTGGTCACGAGGATGATGATGATCTCGAATTCGAAAACTTGCAATGGAATGGATCAGATATGGGTGAGTTTGAACTGTGTTAATTCTTGTTCACTGGATTGAAAATTGAAAAATCACTATTGAATTGTGGATACTTCAAATGGATTAGATTGGTGAAGAATTTGATAAGCTGGCATCGATTAAACATAGCAAAAAAGGCACAAGGAAAGCTAGTTGTCGTCACTTTCCATTCGATTATGATTAGGGGAACTCATAATTAAAACGCTCCCTTGTTTGGAGTAATTGTTTCATTGGTCCACTGTAGTTGTTGTGGAATGATATGTTTTTTAGGAATAGTGGTTGAGGTTGGTACTTTGGATTCTTTGCTTATTCGCCTTTTACTTTATGTGAAATCTTGTTGCATCATTTATTCTCTCTTCTGGCCCCTCCCAATGCTTTTTTAACACAATGCTTTTGGTATTTTGATTTCCCAGCATCTGATGACACTCTAAAGTCCCATAGACCAAGACATAGGACACACAAATCGTCGGGATCGTCGCACAAAACTATCAGTCGATCCTTCTCTTATGAATCGCAGTCCAAGGGATCTATTTCCACCCCCCGTGGGTCCATGGTACTTAACAAACAGACAATTTGTTTTCCATGTCTTGAATTAAGATACTGTTAGGCTTGTAATCTATGTTCACGGGTCTTAATTAATGTCCTTCCCTGTACAGAAGGTTGACCTCGGTAAACTGGAGATGTCTGCTTTATGGAGATATTGGCGACACTTCAATCTCGTAAGTAACTGTTTATTTGATAAGCACGTATATAGTTTCGAGCATATGCCTTTTAAGCTGCAAGATTTTAGCACATAACAGAGATAATTCTATATCTTCTAGGTGGATGCTTTTCCTAACCCATCAAAAGAGCAGTTGGTGGATCTTGTTCAGAGGCATTTTATGTCACAGGTACACTCGAATTTCTCGGTCTAATCGTCTATTTTTCAATCGTCAATGATCATCACATATCTGTCTATCAGTTGTCACTCTTGTTAATGCATTCCTCGACACTGTAACGAATTGTACTACCATCCCATAACTCGTTTGTTTGTTCACAATGCTTGTGCAGCAACTCGATGAGTTGCAGGTGATTGTTGGGTTCGTCCATGCTGCAAAGAGACTCAAAACTGTGTGCAAATGACGATGAGCAAGGGCTGTAACACCAAGCTCATTCATCCATTTCTAACCCTGAAAAACACCGGTACCCGAAATTCCCATTTCCCCGCAACATTGACGATCTCTGTAATATAAGTATCCTGGCTTGTTGTTGAGGTATCCATTACCCTTTTGTTAGTGTAATTATGGTAGATAAACATAGTATATAATATATATATATATATATATAATGTACGTATGACTGGTTAATAGACCTAAGAAACAACCGAGAAGTCCTTTGTGACTTTGTTTTTTCGAAACCTCGAATGAATGCTGACTTGGGAGAAGAGTGGGTATCTTCAAATGAATCTGTGTGGTATATTCCTTCAATGCTTTAATTTGTTTGTCGTTCGTTTTTATTATATGAAACAGTGATGAATCCGACCAAAAAGTGTTCCTAAACGACAGCCAATTACACAAGTTTAATCGTAGGTTATATGAATTGAAGCTTCATGAGGCCTAAATGACTCAGCGTTTACAAAATGTTAGAGGGCCAAGTCTTGAAATGAAATTTGCTTTTAATCAAACAAGTTTGGTCTAATCCTTAAAAAAAAAGGCTCTTATGACTATTTGAAGATGAACAATGCAGATAAAAATGGAAAAAAAAAATTTATTTTATTTTTAATAAGAAAGTGTAGGTAAAAAGAGAGAAAAGAATTGTGAAAAAAAGAAAAGAAATAGTGAGCTGTCAACGTCTTATTCAATGCGGATTTAAATTCAAAAAATCAAAAGATCTTTAGAATCCAAAGTGGGTCCCGCTCACGTTTTGCTGTCGATTTCCATTTAATTCTATCTGGTAAAGGGCAGTCCCCCACTATTTCCTATAAATTTCGATTTATTTTTTGCCTATTTCATCATCCCTTCCCTTGTTTGGCAAATTTTCTTATATTTTTCCCCTCATCCACTGGGGATTTTTTTAAATAATAAAACAATAAAAAATGTTTGATTCACTAGTTAGATTTAAGAATCAAATTTTTTCGTGAGGCAGAGAATCGAATCTTCAACCTAAGTAAAGATGATAAGTATCTTATTGTTAAATTATGTTCGGATTGGTTTAGACTTAACAATTATCGACTAAAACGTTCCTTATTTGTCAACAAGTTGAAATTTCTATTTAAATTTTTGAGATTTCTTTTTATACAAGGTAAGAAAATTAATTATATGAGAAAGTCAATTAGTTATTAAATTCAATATAAATAGACAAGTGCAAATTGACCGTGAACGACCCAGTACCAAAGCTTTACTTTAAGATTGTTCGAGCAATCAAGTCTTCTTTTCGAGAAGAAAACAAGAACTCTACTTATTAAAACGATTTTTTTAACATAATTAAACGATTTTTCTTCATCAAATGATTTTGAAAGTAATTGTTCCAAGAGTGATTATAATTGAAAACTTTAAAAGTGCATAATTACATTACAAAAATCAAAATTTTGATAAATATATTATTTGATGTTATAATTTAAATATCACTGTCCTTATATTACTAAGCACACTTTGAACCATTTTTTAAATTGATATTTAATTTCAAAATCTTTCTACCAAAAAAATATGTAATGTTACCATGGTTTTCACCTGAATTTATTGTTTTCGGATTTCTCACACATACTCTAAACTATTCTATATAACATAGGTAAAAATTAATTTTTTTTTACAACTCATTTAAAAAATTCAATCACCTATAAATTGTCACATCATTTTTCTGATAAATTAACTTACGGTAAAAAAAATGGTCAATGACTATTTAAAACAATTAATAGAGATAAAAAATATTTATTTTAAAATTTCAAAGACTTAATAGATATTTAACTCAAATTTTATTGACAAAAAAATATTAATTTTGAAACTTTAATACTAAATTGTCAACTACTGCAAACTCAAGGACAAAAAATTATAGACACGTATTCAGCCCAAAAAGTTTAAAATAAATTAAAAAATTATAAACGGCTAGAAATTTGTAGGCTGACGTCTTTGTAACTTTTGGTTGAAGTCAAATTGGCGGTACTCAGTGTGTGAGCGGAAAATATCTTTCGCTTTTTCCTTATTTTTTTTGAAATTCAAATCGATTCCCGCCTAAATTTCGGTGAGTGGAAGATTTTCCGTGCCATTGAAAAAAGCGTGTTGGTGCTTTTGAGGATTAGTGGGCCCCTGGATAACTACTTACTTGCTGATACCTTTTTGTTATGGGCCTGATCTTGGAGCCCCTCGGCCCAATAACAATCAAAATTCAAATGCTGAATTTTGAGCTTCTTTATTCTGTCAGGCCCTAATATGGAAATCACAGAAGCGTTTGGGCCCGCCCATTTAGAGACGAAGACAAAGCCCAACAAATCATAACAGAAATATTCTCTTCTTTTTCTTTTGGGATTGTACATGAAGATTCTAATTCTAAAATGGTGTATATTTTTTTAAAAATTCACTTTTATCTAGGGTCTAGCTTGTTTAGGAAGAAACTCAATTAAAAATTACATAAGTGCTCATGTGAGATATTTTTAATAAACAAAACAAATAATATAGGATGAAATCTTTGATTATTTTCTTCGCAAATATTTCGAAATCCCTTCTTTCCCAAAACCGACGGGGACTAATTCATCCCTCTAATTTTTTTTTTTGGAATTTTGGTACAAACAAATCAACATCAAGGTTTTGCTCTTCTTCTAAAAGGAAAATTTCCTGTCAAATGGTGGGAATAAAATAAAATGGCCACTCAACCCAAAAATTTAAACTGATGGGTTGGATTAATTTAATTCATTTATAGATATCTAAGAATGGTTAATTCATTCCTTAATGGTACAAGATTGACGGTGAACATGCTGATCTGATGGAGTTTTCAAATGCAATCCATGGATTTTTTTTTGCTCTTTGGTAATGCTAGAATATTCTTCTATGTGTATTTTCATGGCAAGAAAATGAAGAGTCAAAGTTTAGGGATAGTCTCATGGTCTTACAGTTACATGATTAAGTCGATGCACACGATAGAAATAATCTCTCGTATATTTAATGATAGATACGGAAGGATTAATTATAATCTCTAATAAAATTTTTTAAGTGATGGGGTAAATTTGATTCTCATCGTTTTAAAACTTTATAAATATTTGTGAATGAATCCAGTCACACATTTTGTCACGACATTGGCAATAATGTTGCATGATTGAATTGAAAAGATTGAGATTTGGTCAAAAGATTCATTCCACATCCCACGCCCTTGGGATTTCTTTATGCTCAATTGTTTCCCACTCTCATCTTTTATTTTTTTGTCTCTCTTGGATGAATAAACCCCAAATATATATATATATATATATAATTAGTTGAAATTCCATTTCTTTTATTATAATTTCTGTACTATTGAATGAGGAGAAGAGGAAAAAAAAAGACTAGAGGTATTTTCACTTTAATTTTCTTTAATTAACATTCAATTATTGCAGTTTTGACTACTTTTTTATCCGAGAAATTGAGTTGTTTATGACATAATGAAGCATTCAGGGAGAAATTGGTCTATGGAGGAAACCACAGCAATTAGGTTTATATGTAAAAAATCATAAAATAAATATTTTTTTTTACTACAATCACTTGAACTATGTTCAATTTGGCATAAAATAAATATGTATTTAATGATTATTTACTTGCTATTACCATTTTTTTAACATATATTCCATGGTTATTAGGAATAGTCACACAAATAATACCAAAGCGAACCTAGTTCAACGGTAATAGGCATATATCTCTAATCAAGAGACTGCGAGTTCGATCTCTCACGTTGTACTAAAAAACAAAAAAGAAAAAGAAAGTCACCCAAATAATGAATTGCATGTAAAATAACATAAAAGGTAACTCCTTTTTTTTAATGTTTTAAGCCTGCTCAAAAATAATTTTAAATTATAATTATGTCCTTTATTTATTATTATTTTTTTTTAATAAAAAAAAAACGTAGTAGTTACATTTTTGAAGTGACAATGCACCACAATTTGGCATTATTGAATTCTTAGATACCAAACACTAATATTCATGTGTAAGACCGTCCAATTAATGTATTTAATAATTGCTAAATGCGGTAACGATTCTATATTTTCATTTTTCAGGCACATTCTCGCAACTATTTTCCTCCACCCTATAATACGGAAATGTATGAATTTAGCCCACACATTTTCTAAAGTAATATGAAATAGGAAATCAAAATCATGAAAAAGAAAATTAGTGGTCCAAAACTTCAATCACACGAGGCCTAACCAATCCGTCTTACAATTTGATGTTATATTACGTGACAACAATGACAATATACTAAACTTTGACATTTGTTGGCAAGTGGTTTCCATCCAAGAGAACGACCATGATATACATTCATGCTTTTCGACCAATAGCTACATAAACATTCATTATATTTTGTATTTGTTGATTTGTACTATACTAGTTTTATAGATTTGCCTATCTTCAATATTTAATTGTTGTTAACCATTTAATAGAAATCATTGAATCAATAATAATAAGTCCCCTTTAAAAAGCTAACTTGAGCTTAACTCAACTAGTTAAGACATATGATCAAGAGATCGTAAATTGAATTCCCCACCTCCACATGTATACTAAAAAAAAGAAAAACAAAACTTTAGTTTGAAAAGGTTCATATACAAAATGTCTCGAAATAATACCAAAAGTGTGAGATTCAATTAATCGATATTCAAAAGCTGAAATTTCACTCTAATCATGGATAAGTTTAGTTAGAAAAGACTAAATGACAAAAAATACTTCTAAAACTTTATTTTCTTTTTTTAAAAAAAGTACTCATATCATTTCAAAAGCTTGCATAAATATTTTTAAAATATATTTGATAAAATATTTATTAATATTTTAAACCAAAAAGTAAGTAAAATTTAAATGACTTGAAAACATCATCGTGAAAGTTTATCTAAATTAATATGAAAACTTATCTAAATTAAATTTGAAAAAGATAGGAAATATGGAATAAGCTGTCTTTAATGAATCGGTACAAAATTCAAAAAAAATTTTGTTATTTTATTTTTCTGTATCATTTGAATAAAGTGAGTATGATAAATTTTATTGTAAAAAGTTACTATCCTGTGTATCATTTGAATAAAGCCAATACGACAAATTGGATGCAACATCTATTTAATTAATTTTAATTATATACCATTTGTATTAATTTTAAACATAATTTAAAAAAAAGCACGATAGCCAAAAACTATCTTAGATGCGGGGGTAAGTAGAATTGGCTCTTTCTATTTNTTATTTCAACCGGTTATTCAGCTGTCCCGTCAGAGAGAGAGAGAGAAGAGATAT